CCCCCAAAAAAAAAAAAAAAAGGGGAAGAGAGAAGGGAAAATGGACCCAGAGAACTGTCATCTTCAACCCCTGTTTGGTAACAATTTCAGTGGCATAGGAGATTGCTTTGGAAACCCTTTTTTCTAGCAGAAGCCACATTCTCAGCCTTTTCTTCCTGACTTTCACTTCAACTTTTATCTGTTCCACTAAAAATGAGTTAGATTTTTAATTTCTTTCAGTTGACATAGCACCCATTGAGTCAGTGAGGCTGTGGTGACTTCCAACCAGAAGCTTGCACGTTATTATTTATGAGAACACAGCAACTTGTAAATCATGCAGCATCCTTGGCAACCAGTGCAATCCCATGTGTCTGTGCAGCTAACGCCATGGTGGATGATGAAACCAGTAAGCAATCCAGCTGCTGTGAAGGGGAAATAGACACTTATTTTTCCAAAACACTCCTAGTGCACACTTTCTCCTGAACACACCCATCCGCAATTGATTTCACAGGTTCCTTTTGTGGCTCCCAGGTGCTCTGTAGAGGTAGATGGCCAAGTATCTTGAGGATTTTTTTCTTTACACGTCAGGGAGAGAAGTGGATGAACTTTTGCTGTCATTCTGGCACACAACAGTGGAAATGTTAGCTTGATTCAAAATATGGAAGTGCTTAGTGAATGAAACCTGTTAGCAGAACAGACCTACTAAATGCAAGTAATACTTTCCCCTGCATCACTGCTGTGCAGGGTGTTAGAAGTATAAACTGACACCCTGGGATGCTTGTTGTTGCTCCAGGAATATGATAGTCTGGAAAGACTGTGACTCGGGAAGTAAAGACTAAGTGAAAATGGATGAGATCTGGCTCAATGAAAGGACTCCAGCAGGTGCCAAGCCAAGATATCAGTGTGTGTAACACCTGCTAAAGAGAAGGATATTTGCATGCTCTGGCTTAAAGAAGGGAGCAGAGACCTGTGAACTCTGAGCACATAGGAGGACAACCTAGCTCCTTTATTCCTGTACCTCCTCTGCTGCTTCTTAGCTGCACACCCACGAGTCAAGTGCTTAATTTCTGCCTCAGTTTCCCCAATAGGAATTCACAGATGATACCCAACGGGGCAGGGATCTGGACTGACAGCAGTAAAGCCTTTTGAGTTCCTCCCTTTTTTTTTTTTTTTTTTTTTTTCCTTCTGAAAGGGCAGGAAAAACTGGTTGCTATCCAAGTAATTACTAAATGTAAATAACGCTTCTTTTTTTGCAATTCAGTGTGGGTGATTTAACAGATTAAAGTATACAGGAACCAGAGGAGGAAACCATCGGCTGCCTATAGGCTCAAAGGACATCTGGATGGTGCAGATAGGAGACATTTGCAAAGGTGAAGGGGTCATTTCTGAATTCCCTGCAAAGCAGTTCAGCAGTTCAGAAATTCTCTCTTTAAGGAGATTAATTAGGAGGAGATTTAAATGAAATATTAAAATTGAAACTGGAGGCAGCAGTTGATAGTATATGATGAACTGCATGTCTCTTAGGGGGGAGGAAGAATCCACAAACAATGCTTTCAGCTCTCACAATGTGAGATTTGTTGTTGATGGTGGTCACGTTCCTCCCTGGATGCCCAGCACATATATCCTTCAGTCATCTCTCCACAGAGGTTTGCCTGGGAGAAAGTTGTGCTGGAGAAGGGCAGCTCTGAAAATACTGTTTGTCGAACCTGTCATTCAGTCCTGCACCTCTGTGGATTCATCAGCTGACCTGAGCAGGGGAAACAACCAGATTTGCTGTGGAGTCTGCAATCCTCTCATCCTCTCCAGTCTGCTCTCCAACAGGGCTCAACTCCTGCTGGCAGAGAAAAGCTCCAAATAGTGTTCCTGTTATCCAGCTTTGTTCAGATGCAGTGTGGGGTCCAAAGGAGTGCTGCAGCCAAACTTCTCCAAGCTCATAACAAGGAGGATGTTTTCCATGTTCTCTCCTGTTCTCTCTCTCCCTCTACCCCATTCAACTATGTTCCCACTGGTTGGTTTTTGCCTGATGAGAAGGGAGGGGGAGAAGAGGGTGGAGGAAGGGAGGAGCCTGCAGAATGCAAGCACATCTTTGCAGAAATTTTGCTCTTAAAATGCAGCCTCTGCTTTCAGATAAATTGCCGAGGCACAAGCCAAGCTCTGATGCTATTTAATTTCTGTCTGATTCTTTCTGCTTAAGAGTGATAAATAAAGATTTCCATTGTTAATTGTGACCACGTGTGAACTCCAAATAGAAGGATTCGGGAGGGGAAAAGGCGAGGGTCATTTTTGTTCTGTTTCCCAGGCGTTCCCCTGCGGCTTGGTTACATTTTTACTTTCCTCCCTGTGCCTTTTAACCATACGTTTCTGAGAGCCCAGAATAATCCTGTCTGCTCAAATGGTAGGAGTCTGGAAGGCATTTGTGAGTCAGCAGTTCAAACTTTATTGACTCTTGGTACCAAATTAAAATCTAATAAAGACCACTGCTGGGTTCACTACTTGGGAGTGGAGATGGGAAGGAGAACAACATTTCTAGTCATTCATCAGGTTTTCTGCTTTTTTGTTGATGTTTGTCTATCTGTCAGATAAGCTTCCCGCATTCCCTGTAACAAATGATGCTGGATTTTCTGTCTAAGGGCCTGTCCTCATATAGAAAAAGTTGTATTTTGCAGTGTTCCAGCTTTTGGCTCCAGTAAACTTGAACTCTGTGATGGTGTAAGTGACATTTGTTGTTTTCTGCTAAAACCATCACATCTTGCTATGGCAGAGGTCTTGGCGTGAGTGAGACATCACCTGAATATTAAGGCAACTCTAGCTTCAGAAGAAAACAATGCTCTGGAGGATTAGCCAAGTCCTGCATTAATGCAACTGTGGAAGCAGCGAATCTAAGGAAATTCCATCTTGTCACTGCCAGTGGCGTGTGTTTGTCCTGTGGTTATTTGTACCTCCTGGGATAGCTCAGTGTCAGCTCCCCAGCTACTGGTGTGTTTTATGAGAGCTGTGCCTCGATTCTTAGATCTGTTTGTGTTTCGCAGTGGGACTAATAAATGCATTACATCAGTGCTATGCTACTACTGGTCCCCTGGCTCCTCCTCTGCTCTCAACAATTAATGGAAGCGTGTTGCCCTCTGTAGCCCAGCTCCCATTTTGGATGGAAAAGAACTTCTGCCTGAAGCAATAAGCTGTAGTATTTTACGCCGTTCAGCACTGATGCTAGGAGAAGTCCCCCAAACAAGCTCCTCTCTGTCCCTTTCTTTGCAGCCACTGGTAAAACTCCCAATTACTTCTCTGTGTGAACAGCAAGGAGATGTGGTTAGCAGGGACGAGGATTTTTTTTCCCAGCTAGCTTGAAGCGAACCCGCTATTCATGAATCCATCTTGTCTTGGCTTTCAGAAGGCAGCGCAGAACCTAAAACCTGTTGTTCCCATCAAGTTCCATATCTCCAGCCGAACAGATACTGGTGTCCATGCGCTGTGCAACGCTGCTCACCTTGACATCCAGAGGGCACCGGGGAAGCCAGCTTTTAGTGAGAAACAGCTTGTCCGCAGTCTTAATTACCACCTGAAGCCTGAGCCAATCCGGTGAGTTGGAGGCAAGTCAAAATCTTTAAATCTTTTATTTTGCCCTTGTTGGAGAAGGGAGGAAATGCAGCAATGATCTCGCATCTTCACCCACAAGATATATTTTCCCGTTAGGTGTGTTGGCAAACCACATGTGTTCTTCTGCTACTGCCAAAGCCCTGGCACATTAAAGATCAGTCTTATTCTGAAATTTCTCTCACCCAACACCTTATGTGCAAAAACGTGTTTTTAGCAGCTTGCAGAGCTGGTTGAGTCTTTCTCTGAAAGCAAAGGTTCCACGGTGGATACCTGAAAGAAAAGCAAATACAGATTTCACTGCTTTTCCTACACAGCCGGCAGACAGCCTTCCAGTAACATGTCAGATCATGCATCCTAAACTTGAGATTGAATATTAGCATGACAGTGTAAGGTTGACAGTTTTGCACTTACAAATCCCGTTCTTCCATTGGCCTCTTAAAGTAGCAGCTGAATTCCTCTGCAGTGAGAGGCCAGAACACAAAGCAAATCTCTCTGTCAAGCTAGCTAAGCTACATGCTTAACGTCTGTGAGTTACTGTCTCTTGGCAGCTTTCGCCTTCTTTGCCATAGGTGTAAAGAGTCTAATGAAGCTGCTGTGGGCTGAGCTGGAGAGTATTCCTTTTCAGACCACTGTGTCAATCAATTATCCGAAATAAAATTTGAGTTATGTGGGCCTTTGGTTGTTATTTTTGCTCAGACTGAAAGCTAGGTTTATGAGGATGCAGTCAGCTCTACTTCTCCTTCCTCCCTTGGGCTGAACCTTTTAAAAATGGTTCAGCTGCTTTCTGTTAAGGAGCTTGGTGATAGGCATGAGTCTTAAGTGTATTCAGCAACCATCCCCTCCCTCTGTAAATATTACTTTGCCAAGAAGAATTCTCTCCCAGTGCTGAAGAGAAAACTCAGTACTTTCATGTGGTTGCAAGCAGGGGGTGATGGAGAGAGGGATCTTTGTGAGAACATATTATTGTCGATAGAGCTTGGAAGGGAAACAAGATTCCAAGCTGGCTGTATCATCAGCAATAATAACCGTCTTTGTAGCATGATGGGTCTCTTCTATCAACTGATCTGTGTTTTAGATTCGCAAAGCATATTTGAAAGGATCTTGTCTACAAAGATCGGAGTGTATTTCATAGATGGGGTCACTTTAGGAGGACTTTGCTGTCTCTTAAGTGGGAATGGTAGTACTGTAAACTCATGCCTTCTATTCCTTATTTCAGTTCTGTAAGCATGCAATGAAAGCTCTCTGGGTGACAAGACAGAGCTGGGATTCCTCCACCTCTGGCAGACTGGCATTTTGTTTCTGTTGTCAGTGGACAGAGAAGGATGTACTTCTGGAGGACATCTTTGTCTCTTACACATCGCCATTTCTAGTTAGATGTTTTTGAGCTTCTTTTCCTTCGACCTCCTTTGAAATTCAAATTCTGTTGAAAAGCTAAGAATGCCATGAGTCTTTATTTACTATCAGTCTTTCAAAAAATGGGACCTTAAGAAGGCCTGAAATGTAGTATGTTTGACAAGCTGCTGGAATAAATGCTGGAAAGACATTCCTAGCTAGAAAGAGTCTATGGTAGCAATGGCTTCTGCTAGGAGAGGCAGGAAAGGATGCCTGCACTGAAGGATCATGTGAATATAAATAGGTTTTTCTGAAATAATCACTCTATCAGGGGGAGTAAAAGGATGGTTATTTAATAAAAATCACATAAGTGTTAACAAGAGAGGCTCAAGATAGATGAAATGCTTGTGGAGGCATGCAGACAGAGGAAGATAAATGTAATAATTATATTATTGTGTTTAGAAGAGGCTGGAGGTCCTAGGTTCAAACTCCATTGCAGGCCTGGAGGATGTAGTTTGTATTTCCACTGGGAGTTTATAGCAGTGGAGCAATCTCCTGGACTTGTTATTGCAAATCTTTGTGGAGGCCTGTGGCTCAGCTTTAATTTCTTCTTCTGTGGTCTGAGCTTTTGCAGTCAAGGGATGTGAGCCAGAGGCACTTGAGCTGGCAAAAATCCCTCAAGCACCAACGTTTTTAAAGTAAATAGATAGGTCTGGCTATTACTTGGTCCCAAATGGTATTGTATTTTTTGGCTGCCCTGCATCCCATCTCCTTGCTGTGCCAAGCTCCAAAGACAGAAAGGCACAGGGCAGAAGAAAAACTCCCTTCTAAGGAGAGGTATCCTCTGAAGTGACACCTGCAGAGGATTACTCTGTGTAATGGTGACTCCTGGCTGGATGCTCCCTGCAGGATGGTGAGTAGCCAGAACTCCTGGATAAGTGGAAATCACATCCAGTAAAAACTGCTGCTGACATGTTCAGATCAACAATAACACTTTGGGGAAGGTGCAGACCCCTGCACACATGAAATGTGAAGGTTCCCAGGAGGTCTCCTGCACGTGGCATTCTGCTGTTTTCGGGAAATCTAGGCGATGGTGGGATGAGCCTTTTATTTTCATTGCTGCAGCAAAGTCCTGTTTGTCTTGGAGATTGTGGGTGGAGGCAGGAGGGAAGCGACCTGGTTTCAACTATCTCCATCTGCTACAATAAGCTGCGTAGTCACCTTTGAGAGGGAGCGCAGAGGTACCTGTTTTTGCGGAGTCCTTCCTACTGACACTTGGGACCATGGTTCTGCAAAAGCAGAAGGGCACAGCGTTCGGCAGGAGTCAGCTTGCGTTGGGAAGGTGCCGCCTCTCACCTTAAGCGTGGCTGGGAACACCTGCACCCTGGCCAGATGCAATACAGTCTGACGGGCTGGGGAAGGTATTTGGTTTCACGATCTGACAAAGAACACATGCTCTCAGTTGCCGTTTGTCAGCTGAAGGACTGATTGGTCTTAGCCTCATGTAGTGGTGTGAGCGTCCCCAAGACTTGTTGATAGGTGACCCAAAGTCACTTTCACTGTGTATTTGATGACAGGGGTGATGCCAAGGCTCTTCTGCTTTCTTCTAGTTGACAGGTGGCTGTGGCAGCCTGAAGGTGCAAAACCTTGGTCACTGGTTAGTTATGAGCTGTCAGGACGGAATTATATTTAATTAATTGTAAGTGCAGTTTCTCACAGAATCAATTGCATGTTTCAGTTCCCATCTATGTGGTGACCAGGGAAAAGCTTTTGAGTTAGTGTATTAAATTTCTCTCCATCTCACTCATTCTCTTCTGTCCTAACAGCATTTTGAATGCCTATCGAGTGACCAATAGCTTCCACGCACGCTTCTCTGCACTGTCAAGAACCTACATTTATCGGCTGTTGATGGGCTGCGCTCATTATTCTGAAATACCGGTGTTCGAAAAGGATCTCTGCTGGGCTCCTGCGGGAGGGTAAGTGTGTTCCATTAAACCTCCCTGGGGAGGTACCCAGCACTCTGGCCAGGCTTGGCTTTTTGAGGGAAGCGGGAAGGGGGGGATTTGCACATGTGAGACCAGATTCTCTGTTTGTATTGACACAATTTCCCTGTTGAAATCAGTGCAACTGCACTGAGTTACGGTCGCTGAGACCTGAGACTTGCAGCTCTTTTTAACCGTACTGTCAGCTGTGCCTGTGACAAACGTGCTTAGCGCTGCGGAAATACTCAATAACTGTGGGTAGAGTCCGTCAACGACTTTGTGTGTCGCTCCCCGTGGAAGTGATGAGCATTTCCTCAGATGACCTTGCCCATTCATACAGCAAACCCCTTTGGACAGCTGGCTGAAGGAACGGTGCTCTGATATGATGCAGACGGGCATCGCAGGTCTCAGGGTTTTAGGTGTGACCACACAAGCAGTCAAGAATGAAGGCTGAGAATTCTTTTTTTTTTTTTCCCTAGTCCTATTTCTGGTAGCGACTGCTCTCTTCCTTGTCTGAGCGCTTGTATGTTTGAATAGTGAGCACCAATGACTCCAAGCGACCCTACAATAACAAACCAGTGTATCTAGCTCAGTATTCACTTGTGTTTTTGGAGTAGCCACTGAGTCATAACAAATCAGTGCTTGTATATGCAAGGGAAGAAAAACAAATTGAGTGCTACTTAAAAAAAAACAAACTTGTGACATGATAAACAGTGGGTGAGGAAAAAACAAACAAAACCCAGAAGATAATTTGTTATTGTCCTTTAGTTTACATTGTACTGAGAGAAACATACAGTCAAGAAAGCAGGAGTTTTCCACAAGATTATAGAAAAACAGGTTTGTAGCCAGTTGCGGTAATTTCATCACCACTATTGGAATAACAATTGCAGGTAATGGAAACAAAAAGTAATCTCAGCTGTCCTAGCAGAGGAATGGAGATGACATTGTCCTGACATTAAATTGCTGACTTTCTTTTCTGTGGTCTGTGGAAAGGAAAAATAAATATGAAACTGCAAAATCAGATGTTATTGCACAATGTGCCTTAATCTTGGGCTTTATGAAGTAGCATTTCATTTAGTTCAGACACTGCAGTTAATTTTCTCAAATAGCAATACCATATAAAGGACAGGGTGAGCAATATTAGAGATTCTGAATGGGTGGTGTCTTGCTAAAAGGTGGGTTATTTGGACTGCTAGTACTGGAGACACAGTGTGTGCACTACTGAGCACATCTGGCGTATAAAACACATAATACACATTAAATCTCTGTAGGCATCCAAATGGCCAACTAGGTGTTACCAGTGCTTCTCTGTGTGACCAGGATTCTGTAAGTGCTAGTCGTTTTTCTTGAACACAGTAAAAAAACTTAAATGATGTTGGAAAAATCTCATCTTGGGGGTTTTGTTTTCTTCAGAAACATTTTGACTTCTGTTAAGATCTGAAAAACTTAAACTATAATAATGTATACTTGCTCAGGCTTCTCTTAGGAGAAATTTACAAAAATAGAATAAAAATAAGCATCTGTTCAGCAAATATATCAGTAAATCTGTCTAAATTCCTTTGCCTGAGACTATTTTGAACAGACCTAAATACTTCAAATGAAGAAATCTGAATGGCACTCGACATTCTGAGTTTTACTCTTGGCCCTTTTGTCTGCATCTCCACCTTGGGTTTACACTGGCTTCATCTCTGACAGTTTGCTCACTCATCCCATTTCTGTTACTTCCTAATTTCATCTTCTGGCTGTTGCAAATCTAAGGTTTGGAAAACCATCACTGTGTTTGATATTTTCTCACCTGGCAACATCTTTTTTGGTTTATAAGATCCAGATACCACAAAGGTTTTTGATTCTCTTGCCCTATGTTCTAGCCAGCAATTTGGGTAGAGTTATGTGAATTGAACTGTTATAAAAAGAAGCACAGCAGGATGAAGGTTTGTGTAAAAACCATGAGCCTGCCAACCCCTCATCCAGCCTGGGGTTTTGAATACCTTCAGACTTCAGGTTGCTTGGCATCTTGGTTTGTGGTTTGGGCCATTACAAACCAAACTCCATCTTGCAAAGATGGGTTTCCACAATGCTGCAATGTTAAATCTGTGTGCCAGGTTTAAGCTTCTCATCGATTAATTGGACTTTGACCCACCTAACATACTTGGTCCCACCTGATGCTCCTTTCCTTTTGGTCTGTGTGTTTCATTTCAGCCACCTGAACGTGCCTGCCATGCAGGACGCAGCACAGTTCCTGCTGGGAACTCATGACTTCAGCACCTTTCGCTCACTTAACTCCGAAACACCTTTTCAGTCTCCGATCAGAACCATCTTCCAGGCAGACATCCGACCCTCTTCTGGTTTCCTGTCCCACCACTATGAACACAGGTGAGAGCCTCCGTACTGGGCTGAGGAGCTGCTCTGATCAGCTAGTGCTTGCTTTGTCTGAAAAGCTGCTTTCCAGCGCTGCCTGGAGTACTGACCTCCTGTTTGCTGTGCATTGCCTTCTCAGCCTTGTGATGGTGTCAGCAGGGTTCTACCCAGTGACAGCTTGGAAAGGACATTTCTTTCCCTCTCATCCCCAGAGTCCTCAGGGAAAAAGATGAGCAGGAGTGAGGGGAGGGAAACAAACAGTCGTTTGTGTGTTAAAAGGCAGGATGTTATAAACTGGTGTCTGGCAATTCCTACGGGGTGCTTCCAGCATTTACACTCATTTTGGTTGCTAAAGACCAGCTCTGCCAGGGGATGGGATTTTTTTTTCCCCCCGTGCTGCGGTCCTAGCTTTGCCTAAAGGCTGCATATACAAGGAAAAAAAACCACCCAACACCTAGGTCGCTGCTGTAGCTATGCAAATCTGCTCAGCTCACACCAGTAATTCCTACTGTCTTCCCAGGGGATGTTGATGAAGGAAAGGCCGATATTCCTCACTCATTACATAAACAAAAAGACTGTTAAGTGTTGGGTTCTTTCAGGACCAGGTCTTGCAAGTATGGAAATTAAGTGGCTGGATGTATTTTCTCTCAAGCAGAAGCTGAATGTTTTTCCCAGAAAGATCATGAGTATTTATCATCTGAACATGGCTTTTGCTTTCATGCTGGCTATTGTGTTTCAACTTGAAAGCAAACCTTACTCTTGCCTGTCTCCAAACCGAGTTTTCCTTCTTTCTGATTAGGAGAAAACGCTTTTCGCTGTAGTTTTTCCCAATGACCCTTCATTAGATTTGAATACCTACTGAGCTGTCTGTAACAGTAAGTGCCATGCTCCAAGCTTCGGAGCCTCACTGCAGTTTGCAAAGAGCCCACTGTTTCCTTCCCTATGTCTTAGTGTATTTTTCCAGCAAGAGTGTAAGAGAAAAACTGAAAGGGAGCTGCAAAAACAGAGAGAGATCTGTATGCTCCGAGTAACCCTGGTCTTTCAGCTCCTCCCAGTTCCTCCCGTCATCTCTGATTCCTGCTTTTCCAGATCAGCGTTGGTGCTTGTCAATACCCAGCCATGTTACAAAGAGCCTCCCAGTTGGGGATGGTGCTCTCTGCTGTAAAAGCACAAGGATGAGGGCAGCTAGTGCCAGGTGAAACGTTTACTTCCAGCCTTCTTGCAGGTAAGAAGCACAGTCCCCAGAGGGAAAGGAAGGCTGGAGAGGAAAATGGGTGCTGTCATGCAGCTGCGTTCCTGCTGCTTGAAATTGGGTTGCCATTGCTGACTGGAGAGCTTGGCCGCCCTCTGTCAAGTGTGGTTATGCTTAGGGACACAAGTAACGGTGAAATGCTTCATCCACAGGATTATCTTGTCCGTTATGATGAGCGGCATTGTCAGTGGCAGGGACCTGAGCTAACCTGAAAATAGCCATTAACAGTCTTGTCTAGATACCTGAGGGCAAACGGGCCAGGCTACCTTCCGGATCCAGACCTGCTATTGTCAGTTGACCAACCTCTGAGATTTAATGCAGATCAGCTCTTTTTTATGTCTTTGATTTTCATTTTTAAAAGGAATTTGCCGTTTCTTATATAACTTGCTGCATAAACCCATCCCCCATGAGGCCAAAACCAGCTCATGAGAGAGCAAATAAACCTCAAAACTGGATCAAAAGCATCAGGCTGGTTGCTAATGGAATAGTTTTGCTTTTGGTGACACATGCATCCAAACTTGTGTTTTATAGCGAGTCATTTTTATAATGTGTCGATATTAATTGATTTAATGAATGTTTAGGCTGAAGGGGATGGCTTCGAGAAGCCTGGTTTCAGTGCATTTAAATGGCATTGAACTCTCTCGGAATACTTTGTTACTAATAACCACAACCATGAGTTCTCTGATCTGGAGAAAAAAGTTGTGGGGTTTGGGTCTTTGTGACAGGCTAGGTCGTGTTGGGGTTTGTTTTTATTTGGTTGGGTTTTTTTTAATTATGATGTCCTAGTGAGTTTTAATCTGTAAAACTCTCCCTGTGGGAACAGTTGCAGTCACGGAGCTCGGTGGTTGTTTGCCTGTTGTGCAAATCAGACAGCAAATAGACCTGAAGTGCATGTGTATTTCTTCACTGCAGTAGCAGAGTGAGAGGGCTGGGATAGCAGTAAAAGCTTATAAATAGATTTTTCTTTTTTTTTTAGCCTGATCTAAGGAGGTTTATTTTCTGTTTCAGAGGGAGAAATCCGTAGAATGATAAACCATAGCCTCTTAGTCAAATAATGCAGCTTTTCTTTCTCATCTTTTCCTTCCTTTCTGAACTTAAACTGATCTTATGAATTGAGCACTTGTCTGTTTACAAGGCTAACTGTTAAAACGATTCCTTCCATCAAGCTCAGTTGCTCAGCAACAGTGGAAGTGGAGTTAGCGTCCCATCTGTACAAAATGCTTTTGAATGCTCAGGATATGTTCAGAGACTCAGCCCCATCACTTGTTCCGGGGAGCGGTTGCTCTGTCACCTGTTTCTAGCTGAATATCTGTTATTCATTGCAAGGTGCTGGCTTCTGCTGCCAAGCGGAAAAAGACAGCTGGATTTTTTTGCTGGTAAGCAAAATTATCTCTGAGATTGACAAGAAAAACAAAGTTTCCCTCTTAAGGAAAAATAACTCTTTCAAGGTGTACGAGATATTTTTTCTAACTATCTCAACTCATCTTTTGTGGCTTAATGTATCTTGTCAAGGAAACCAAGACAGGAGAGCCCTGGCTAAAAAAGGTGCATGCAATTTGGTGACAGGGGTTTTGCCCCTATTTGAAAAAATTCTCTCTTGTGCTCTGCTAAAGAGCTGAGCTGAGTGATGACCTGGATGTGAAGGGTGTTTGCACATGTCTGTAGGCCAAGCGCATTGAGCTGTAAGGAGAACAGACTGTACGTAAGTGACAGAAACATTGTCATTTCCTGACATAAAGAGGAGTCCGGGGGCAGGAGCTGCCTTTGCATATGCCAATGTTCACGACAGGGAGGGCTAAAAGCAGTAATTTATCTGTAAATCTAGTGAGAAAACAGGTTGTGGCTGCTTCCTACAATAACGATTTCACAGTTTCTCTTCCTGCTAGCCCTGCCCCGATGCCCCGTGTCGGCCTGGAAATCGTGTTGTCCCTGCTTCACCTTTTTTCTATGGCTCGCAAGAGCTGTCTCCTCTCCCAGGGCATGGCCAGCCCCTTTCCTGGCACTCAGGTGTTTCCAGCAAACCCAGTCTGTCCATCTGAACCCTCCAGGCAAATATAGTGCAGCTGTGCTTTTTCTTACAGCTGATTAAAATCGCCATAGCCCTTCGATACCCAGTTCCTGGGTTCATTGCAAGAGAAGAGAGGAGAGGGTTTGCATGTAAATATCTGCTTTTCTGGATTCTACAAGGTAAACTTTGTCTCTTTGTGCTGTAGGAATGCTATAGGATATAAGGAGAACTTATAAACTGTTAGTAAGTTTATTTTTCATTGCTATTTTACTGTTACTTTTGTCACAGTGACTTCTAGGATTGCTTGGTAGTATGGAAGTTTGGGGATGCAGGTACTGAAGTGCAAACCTGCTCCTTTTCTTGCCCTCTTGGCATATCTGGTGTATGATACGCGTCTGTGTATATATATATATGTAATGTGCATATCAGATTTTTTTTTTATTTATAGGAAGGAAATGTGCATACAGATTCTTCCCTGCGGGATTGTTCCTGGCAACAGATTTGCATTGTGTTTTAGTGTTAGAGCTGGTACTGGAACATCGACAAAAACACAAAAGTATTTAGAAAGCAACTTGTAAAGATGTAGCAGAGGATGGAAGTGTTGGTGAAGTGTTGGAATTGTTATCCTCAGAGTTCTTAAAATGAATATTGGTTACTACCATCAAACTTTCTGGAAAATGTTATCTATATGAACAGATTTGGTGAGGGGAAAGGATGTATTTTTGCACAGTAGCATCCATCTATCCCCAAATATTCATCTGCTGTTTTGTGGAGTGCTTCCTTGCCTGCCATTGCCTGTGTTCTGGTGCTGTAGCTGGATTCCTCAGGCATGTCTGTGTCCTGGCCTTTCCGGTAGCACGTGGATGTCACAGTGGGCATTGCTCAGTGCTGAAATTCATTCTGCAAAGCCTGTAAGGACCGTGTGACTCTTGTGAGCCAGCTCCATGTGAAATGGTAGCGTTGCTTTGCTAGGGTTGGTTGTTTCTTCCGTTCTCCGGGAGGCATCAGACTGCGTTGCTCAGATCAGTAGTTACTCAGCACACTGCTGAGTTGCACCTTGTTTTATGTTGCCCTTTCTCTTTTCTTGGAATGGTTCTATACTTGGGTCGTAAGGCAGCAGGAAGATCAAACCCCATAAAACCAGGCACATAGAAAACAAGCAGGAATTGTTTCACCCCAGAAAGTGTCTGCATCTGAGTAGCAAATGAGCAGGCTGGTGTTTAAAGCTCAGGATGCTGTTTCAGGTTAATTGGAGGCTGTGCAGCTGCTTATTTATTCTACTTGCAGTCACCTGTGATTTATACTTCTCTTGTGAGTAGAAGAGCCATTTGCAATGTGGTTTTTAAATGCTTTTTTGTTCCTTTCTTTAGGGGACTGGAGTTTTGGGAGCTGAAGTTCAGGAGCAGATCATTTCTTTATCGACAGGTACTGTTTGGTGCTGTATTCAGCACACGCTTTGCCTCCAAGACCCAAAGTGTTGCTATTGCTGTAACTATTGATCAGTTTAGCAATGTTGCATCCCTGTATAGTGCCATCTCTGTTGCAGAGCTGGCGTTGCAGCTGTGTGACACACACAGGGACCTGGCATCAGAGAGGTGAGGTTTTGTAGTCTTTGTTTGATCTGGTAGAACCAGAATTTCTTACGTTTGTGTCTAAAATTAATGTCCAAAGTCACAGAATTGTGTGGGAGGATGGAAAGTTTTGTTTTCCGCAATCTTTGTCCTTGCAGTCCAAGTGGTAAAAACCAAGAGACATATGTTCTTGCTCTGCTGAATGGCCCTGGCCCAGCCAAGACTGCCTGGAATTTTACTTTCTGGCTTTGGAGCGTGAAGTAATTCTCAGTGGTGCACAAAGGAGAGATGGGAAGACCTGATTCAGCTACGCAGGCATGACTGCAGGATCTTTCCCTCTGCCATGCTGTCTAGTCTCCGCTGGGTTTTCTTTGAAATAACTCCAGTGGGGTTTTTGCCGCTGTCCTCAGGGGAGACAGCTCGCGCCACAGCTTAATGGATCACCTCATTAGGAAAGAGTTGGCTGTTCTCAGCCGCCTCTCCTGGCCACGGTCACACTCTGGAGACAGAACAGGCAAGAGAGGGCTTGTTTTGTGGAGGAGAGAGGGGGTGTTTTGTGGGAACAGCAAGCAGCTATTTTTTATTCTGTTTTGACAAACCAAATTTGTTTTTATACTGTGCCAAGTAATGCTGTGTAAGCTCTCTGACAGTGGGTGTCTGGATAGGAGCAAGGGAGAACAACAACGTGCTCGAGGAGGGCTTGATATACAGCAGGGATTTGGTTCATGATGCTTTTGTGACAAGGAGAAAATGCTGGTAACCCGTTTAGAGCATTAGAGTGGAAATGCTACTTAGGGACGTTGTGCAGAGAGAGCCCCTAATACCCAGCTCAGCCTCCTGCCCTCTCTGACCCCTGTTTGCAGCAGCTGCCTCCCGGCGAGCTGGGGGCTGTAGCGAAGCAGGAGCAGGCTGCACACGCTGAACTTGTGTTTTTATACCTGAGCGTCTGCTTCTGCCCTCCAGCATAAAGAGGAGACTAGACTAGATGGACCTCATATGGCTGCTATGATAAATATTGACATCTGGATTGTTTTATTAGATAAAAGGGTTAAACAGCCCCATAAACTGTATGTATCTATTTTTGCTGAATAGCACGCAGAAGCAGGGAGACACCAAGCACATTGCTATTTCGGATGCACACCATTAGTCTGCATTTATAGCAGCTAACTGCAACTGTGGCAATGTCAAAGCTAAAGTCACGGCATACAATGACCTCTAGTGAGGGATGGATAAAATAACATATGGCGAGGATCTCTGTTTCTCCTCTGTGCCATCTGCTTGAAGGCGGGTTCTTGGCATTCCACAGCGCAGTTCAAGATCAGAGCACATCGGGAGAGACAGTGCTTGCCTTTGGATAAATACAGCTTGGCTTGTTGGACCTTTCTGCTTAACGGTGATAAACATGACCAGGTTGCTTACTGGCCTTTGGTTTATTCTTTTGTAAATGTTAACAGATCAGAAACAGACCAGTGCTTCATCGCAGCGCTACATTTAAGTTCTTGGAGAACTTGGTACGCTTTGAAAGGTCATGCGTAGAATGAGTGTTTGTTTAAGCCAAATGACTGATCGTGCCCACGCCAAGCGGGGATGTGTTCTGGCAGCAGCGGGAGAAGGTGAATCAGACAGGACAGTGTCTGCTTGACCAGTTTCCCCCACGTGGGCTGGTGCTGCTGTTACCTGTAAAATTTGAGACTGGAGGACACTTGTGTGGACAGAGAACAGCAGCTGGGAAATGGTAGGAAGTGCGGTGGCTCGGGATCAGCCTGTGGCAAGGGCTGCGTTTCAGAGTGGCTCCTCTGAATGTTGTTGGGGGCATGGTGTCTGACGGGCTGTCCTATTTGTTGGGTTTTTTTATTTTTTCCTCCTCTTTGTCTTTCTGAGAGAGAAGCAAGTCTCTACATAGTCCCCCACCTGGGAACAGTCTTGCTAGTGTATTAAGAACCACCTGTGAGCTCAGCTCTCCCAGCAAGTGTGTGAGCTTCCTGCCACAGACGGATGTGTGGGTGCTGCCGCTGTTTCTGAAGCAGAAACCATCCTCTGCTCAGCTTTCTTCCCACATGTGATGAGAACAAGCCTTGTTCCGAGGCAGTGCTGTGTAGCTGGAGATCATTGTGCTACAGGTCCTCATCTCGCTCTTACTAAAGTATTTAGTTGTCGGGAGGGAAGTGTTAAGGGAAGCAGGGTAATTTTGCCCGTTCTTTTCCCTTCCCAACCACCGGCTTTGGTCCCTACAAGATTCTGTTTTGTCACACATTGCAGTCAAGACTTTCCTCTGCAGGCTGGGGGGTGGCTGTGGGTGCTGGGGCGTGCTTGGGGACTAAGAGAGTATGATCTTTCTGAAGAAATAAAGCACTGGAAATGCTCACTGGGGGTATGTGATACCAAAGGCATACAAAGGGCTGGCAGGACTGGGAGAGGTCGAGCCATGACTTGGGATACTTCAGTGGCACCTAAAACAAGGGTCAAAGCATTCTTTGTGTGGGGAAATGCTTGCTGCTTTAACACCCAACTGGACTAGGAGCAAAGTACGTGGCACTGGGAACAACTGGTAGTACTAGGAACAGTAGAGGAAACACCAAAAATTAGGCTTTCTGGGAACTATGGATTTAATGATGTACTTATGTTGAGGAGCAGGTTCATATTAGGAAGTCATGGTGATAGCACTTTCCTGAGTGACAGGCACTGAACTCTCTGATTTCTAGCTTGACTTGCCATCAGTAGTAACTGCTGATAGCACGAGCGCAGGATTCTGGGCAGAATTTTTGAATCTCTTTAAATTTTACAAGGGCAGCTCTTAAGCTTTGTTCTCTGTTTTTTTCAGGTCCGAAGAATGGTTGGGGCTCTAGTTGCAGTTGGCCAGGGAAGGTTAACACCTCGTCATATAAAGGAGTTACTGGAGATAAAAGATGCACGAGCTTTTCCACCAAATGCCATGGCTCCAGCATCTGGACTCTTTCTAAAATCGGTGGAATATGATGAAGCAGGTAGGTGAATGCGGGGAATGGCATTCTTTTTGTAGGAGTCAGATCTGATACTGAAGATTGTGCAGACCAGAGGACAGAGAGCAGATCATCCTTTTGCTTATATGGTGGCTCTCTTAATGTAACAGCGTCTGATCTAAACTATTTAAGTTTTTAGCTTAAAAAAAGGGAGTTTGGGCAAATTAGCAGAAGATGGCAAATGGATGTCATGGGAGTTTGACATCCCTGCTAGGGATAGCAGGTATTTAAAGCTGCAAGGATTAATCTGTCTCTGATTAATCTGGCACCCATGAAATGTGGATACAAAGGACTTTCCGCCGCACTGCAGACCTCCTCCAGGCTGCCTGCTCTCAGCCAGACCACAGACCTTTTCCAGGTGGGCTTGGAACGTGCTCTCTCACGCAGCAGCAGTGCACACACTGGGCTTGAAGAAGACAGAAAGGAAAGGGAAGCAACACAGAGCAGTGCAAGGAGCTCGAATGGAGTTCTGAGCACTTGGCCTGGCCTTGAAGAGGCAGCTGCTGCTGGCTGGTTTTGGCCCTCTCCAGTGGTGCTTTTCCTAACAGTGCTGCTGGCTGGGGAGCGATCTGTGCCGGTGGGGAGGGAGCCCAGGCAGGAAATGAAGGCCACAGATGTTAAATGCTTTCAGGTGGTTTCGGTGCCATCTTTTTTCCTAAATTAATGTTTTTTTTTCTTTTTTTCCTCTCAGATTTGGACACTACAATTGCCCTGGGAGAATAGGAGCTCTGTGAGATCCAGCCATGTCTGAAAGGACTGTTGTTGTGGATATGGGATGGAGGTTTGCCAAGTGCTTTTTACACAGTACATGGTCTTGTCTCAATAAAAATCATTGACTGTGGCTGGAGGCATCTTCCTATCATTTGTTCTTGCCCTCTGAGACTGCCAAGGGGAAAGGAAGAACAACTCTATGCTGCTTTCAGATAATTGCTTTTTTTCTTCTTTTTTACTGAAATTCTGATGTGTGTCTCAAACAGGAGGAGGAAGGAGTCAGGCTTGGGTGTTTTAGTATTGGGGTGGTTTTTTTGTTCTGTGGTGTGTGTGGGAGGGATACAGGCTTAGAACAGAGGAGAATGTAGCTTTTCCTCTCTGCCCCCTCCTCTGTAACCCTGCCTTTGTACAACTGCTACTGTTTAACGCAGTGACTTACAGAAACAGCCTTTGAGAGGACTTGCTGTTTCCTCTCCTCATCAAGAGTCGCTCTCTTGCTGGACTGTAGTGTGGCTTTTACGTTATCCTGTTCCGTGGTACAAAGTTATGCCTGTTGCGCTTAGGATGTGGCGTGTTACAAAGCCAGGTTCTTTTGAGGTCACCTAAAACCTGTTTCAGTGGCCGCAGCCTGGGCTAGCAGCACAGAAACAGAGCTGTGAGTGGGTCAGCCTAGCTGTGGAGCGAAGCACCTTGGGGGCTCTGTAGCCAGGAGGTGGCTATTACTGGGCTCCGATTTTCTCATTGCCACCTTGTGCTGTGCAGTAGTTGTTGGTGCAGTCGTGCTGCAGAGCACGCTGGGGTCTGGCTGACCTGAGGGCATGCAAGTCCGAGCAGAGAGAACTCCTTCTTGTATTTTTCTTTGGTTTTTTTTTTTAAGCTACTCTACCCTCAGGTTTTGCCTGCTTGCCCAAACAATAAAATACACATTGGCTAACTTGGGGGTTTTTTTCCTCATAAATGACACCAGAATATCTGTCTGTTTTGGTTATAAAATGACTGTTAGAGTGCCAGGTTACAGGAAAGAGGATGAAAATTCTGACTTCTGAAGTTCACAGAAGGAACAGTACCTGCTTTAAACACTCCTGCAGTGGAAGCGATGTGCAGCTGAGATGCTTGGTACCACCATGATTAATTTCCCTTTTGTCCATGAGAGGAGGAGGAGAATTACAGAGAAAGCCTGTTAGTCAGAGCAGACAGCCCACTTGGTCTGGTAAGAGGATGTTCTTTGTTATGTGGCAATTCAAAGTAATAAAGACTATTGCATTCAGATAAAGAAAGGAGGAGTCTTAATAACCTCTTGGCAGACAATTTCCACTCCCTGTTTGCAAGGCAAAGAGCCACGAGGTAGGCAGAGGGGAGGCCTCAAGTTAGTGAGTGGTTCTGATAGTGGTTAGTGATGGTTCCGAGCCCATTTCTCGGTGTCCCCTCTTGAGAAGTGATGCATCTCTTCCCCTCGCTGTTCCAGGTAGTGGGTTTGCCAGAGTCCTGCTTTTGGCAGCATGGGAGGAAAGCTGAGATACTTCTGGTGACGCTCTCCCTTCCCATGGAGCCTGCCGCCTGCTAGCTGCTTTGTTCCCTCAGGGACTAGTTTCCAAAGAAGACACCAGAACTTTGGAGGAGTCCTGGCTCTCTACCATGGAAGAGGAGAGCTGAAGCCACTGTGTTGTTGCTGTGGTGCCTGTTTGTGTTTTCTGGTGCAGCCTTGCTGGATAAGTACCCGGGGGCAGGGATGCTCTCACCTGCTGCAGTGATTTTTCAGCACAAGTCCGCCTGTGTTCCAAACCCCGCACCCCCGGGGCGGGCTGG